TTTGTCGCCGCTACGCTTCCCTTTCTTGAAGTCTCGGAGTTGGGTTCAGGGCTCGGCACGAGCTGGCACCAGGGAAATTTCAAAACGAAGTCCCGTTTGATCTTAAAAATTTTGTACAAGTCCCCTTTGACTTATTTGAAGACCCGTCATTATTTTTAGATTATGTAGGGTTGGTTTCAGTAAGGTTTTCATGCATGCTGACTTCATGGAACAACTTTTTACATCTTTCTGAGCTTTTTAGTGGTTGAATCACTTCTTGAGAACCAGAAAAAGCCGATTTTTCGACTGTGGAGCAGACCAAGCAATTTTCAGATGGCTATAAAACTCTGAAAAGAAAACATTATGAAAATGTTTCTTCTCTGTATGTAAACTTTTACAGTGTAGATACATTTTATAAAAAAAGTATGAAAACTTAATGTGAGCAAAGTGTCGGTGCCAGCGCAACTGGCACCCAACTGGCACGCTGCCAGCTAATTCAGAAAAAAGTTTAGCACAGCTTTCATTCACATAAGTTTTCATAAATTTTTGAGCCACAGTTCGGGTCCCCCAACGCGCATGGACACACCAAATTTGATGTCATACTATTGCGTTTTGGTTATAACAACGCCTTTGTTTGTTCGATGGACAGCATGCCGGTGGCATGCTGGCGCATTCTTGCGGCTCTTCTTCGCCTCGGACCCCGAAAAAACGAAATCTCTTTTGCTTTCTGCCTTAAAAACGATATCCAGCTTGACCCGGTGCCAGCTGTGCGGAGCCTTGGCTGGGTTTCGCAAGAATTTCAGAATGCATCCCAAAATCTTTGCGGACTATGGCTGACGCACCCCTCAAAAAGTACTGTCACCACGCCCCCTCTCCACTCTCCCCATAACATAAATTTCCTGTACCGGCACAAAGATACGTATGCAAAGTGTGAGTTACATATTACATTCCTAAATACCACATATTCTCAAAAAAACAGCACTATGTCTCGTGCTTGACAATGCCATGATTGTTTCTCATTTCCTAACCGGCTTTGATGGTTTCGATAATCTTTCTGAAGTCTTTAACTTCAAAAAAAAAAATTGCTGTCGAATAAATTCACCAAACAGCAAACTTCGAAGGCGTCTTAAAATTAAATTATCAGTGACTAATTCTTCTTCAGAGCTGATTATTAGACTGAAACATTACCTGTGAAGAAAAGTAAGGATTATGAATCATTGCGTGCTTTATCTAAAAAAACTCATATTTCAAAAGAAAAGAATCGACATTTAAAACAATTTCAATTTTGAACAAATTAAACGGAACGTTTACACGTCTTTCCTTCATTCCAAGACAAGGCTGCTTTGTTCGCAAAAAAGATAGCAGGCTGCGCGATATGAGCCGACAGTTTTAGTCTCAACAATTATGCAAGCGCTTAGACAGAAGTCTGCTATTTAGTGCGAGGGTGGCTCCCGAAGGTCTACTGAGTCAACAAAATACTGTTCCGAAGTCATCGTTTTAGCCATCACTGATAGGCTTTGAAAGATTTACATACTACTTCTGCTTTTGCGAAATGGAAGGAATTGGAAGTACATGTAGTTGGAAAAAGAACGGTTAAAATGTCTAAATCTGGATGGACTGTCAGAACTTTTGGTTCCAACATAGCTCTTGGGAGTACGCGAGCTCGGCAGAGCTTTTCTGCAGTCTAAATCTTACAATGAACCTGCTTTGCTAGATGCTTTAGATGTCTTTGATATAAGCTTCCAAGATTTTCCATTGACTTTCAGTCCTCCAGAGTGAAAACTTCCAAATCCATAGTTCTTTTTGTACAATGGCAGCGTTGCGCAGAATCTGAGTGCCATCTTCACATCAATTTGGCAAGCTATCAGACATAAACTACGGCCCACAACGACAAAATGACTCTTCTTCATCTTTTCGTCCTTTTTGCACAAGATCAAGTAAACGGAAAGAAATAGTTTTCTGTTGATTCGATGGTCCCAGGTTAGTTGAAAGGGAAAACTAAATGGTCAACCTTCAAGTGCTCGAACAAAATGATTCTTTTCTGTCACTGCGAGTGGATTTGTAAGTGTCGTGTCATGAACTAGTCACATGCAGCATGAAGAGATTGTGAGTACCAAAAGCACGGACTTCCGAGTTTTCTGACGTCAACAAATGGCGTGTAGGTTTCAATATAGACATGAGTCAGTAAAAAACGCTGAATGAAGTTTCATGTTCTGCTTTAAGAACATACCTGCATTTTTGCTTCCAGCTTTTTTTCCAAAAACTGGCTACGCAGTAGGGATCCGAATCATTCAGCTGCGTACAGCTGCAATGCGGGACTAACCTTTTTCGTTTTTGTGACCTACACAAAGCAAAAAAGCTCGACCTCATCCCACCTTTCTTTGGCACAAAATGTACAATGAATATTTGTCAATCATGCAAAGTTTGAAGAGATGTCTCTGAGTTCTTCCACCATAAACTTTGTTTCCTATCGAAGCCACGGAAACTATTTATAAGATTATCTAATATATTAGGTCATTCCGAAAGTAATTTCGGTTTTTTCAAACGGGCACCACATGTGATGGAACAAAGGTTTCTAAGAGATCTTGGAAGAGTTCGAGGCAGAATTTTATTCTCTTTCTAAGGGTTATGAAATTGTTGCAAAACATTCAGTGAGCTTTCAGAAAATAACCAAAATTTGCGACCCATGCTTTTTGAGATGGTCAAGTTTCACGATTTTTTAAAACTTTCATATCATTCCTCTGAAGGAGTTCAAGTAATGATTCGATAGCGCAAACCTTATAGAATACAGTACTACGTTTTTATCCTTTCTTTGGCTTGTCATACATTTTTAACAGAATTTTAACTGAAGCTACCGATTTCCATACCTAGGCAGCTAAATCCTCGTAGAACATCAAAAGAAGAGCAGCTCGCGCCTCTTTCTAGCAGATGTTTTTGTTTCCGATTCGTTTAGTTTCCGGGGAGAAATCATTTATAACTCATTTTTTTGGCGAGCCCCAGGCTGAACCCGAAAAACTCGAAATTTGATATTTTAAACCCGAAAGCCCTCACTTGCTTTGCAAACCTAATGCCAACTCATAGTACCATCTTGGTAGTCTAAAATTCCGAAAAATTATGACGTTTGATGTGATTGTGGCTGAGGTGGGCCTGCCAAAATCCGATGGTTCTGTCAAAAAATCTTTCAAATAATTACGGCGAGATACAAGAAATAGAAAAAAGTAGCACCGTATTCTGTAAGAGTTATTACTCTATGGAATCGTTATTTAAACTCTTTCTGAAGGTTGATATGAAAGTTTTAAAAAATCGTAAAACTTGACCATCTCAAAAAAACATGGGTCGCAGATTTTGGTTATTTTCTGAAAGCTTATTGATTGTTTTGCAACTCATAATCATTAGAAAGAGAATGAAATGCTGCATCGAATGCTTCCAAGATCTCTTAAAAATCTTTGTTCTGTCACATGTGGCGTCCGTCTGAAAAAAGCGAAATTACTTTCGGAATGACCTAATATTCAGAAAGAGACATTTTCAACACAATTTTTATAATAAAAGAAAGAGAAGTCATAAAAATGTATTACTTTCGGTACCTGATACCTGATTCGGAATATAGCCAACAAGGGAATGGTCAGAAATCGAAGTGGCCAATCCAGTCAAGCTGCATACCATTAGATGCAGCATGAAGCGCTGACTCTAAATCTGTCTTCATTATCTGCTTATCGCTTTTCTGGACGAAGTATGAGCCATTAAAGGCCATTATTTGGCTCAGTAATCATGCGTGAAATTGAAAATTTAGCCGTACAGAGCCTCGTTCCCCTCAATGCTGGGCCAAAAGATGCAGCTAGCTTACTTAAAATGTTTGAAGCCAGCAGCCGAGCTAAAAGTGCAACAATATGCTCAATTTCGCTGTTTTTATGCATGATTTTTTCACGATAAAACCGCTCGTAGCTTCGTCCACAGAAGGGGTAAGCAGATAAGGAAGACAGATTCGAAGTCAGCGTTTTATACTGCATCGAATGATATACAGCTTCTTTGTTTTGGCCACTTCGACTTCTGACCATTCCCTTATAAGTAAATTTTCTAGATGCACCAAAAATGCAGGAAAACACTGCCTTAAATAGCTCATAAAGTAAAATTCTTTTTACGTGACGCGTATGCTATGCCCACACTCTAAATAACACAAAATCATGTGTTTCTCGAAGTGAGCGAGGACAGAAACCTTTGATCTCCGCAATGGAACAATATTAGAGAATGTATTATTTTGTAGGCAAACCATGACGATTCGCAGATTAGCCACATTAGCTTGAGGAGACTTGGGTCCAAGCAATCCAATTTCATTGCCTAGGATAACACAAGAATTTCTACATTTCTTGGTCTTGATCCAAAATGGAGCGCTATGGAGGTGATACTTGCCCTAGTGTTGTTTCAGAAAGCTTTCACAGATAATAATCGCGAAAACATCTCTTAGGCTTTATTCCAGCCAATATTCAGTAGTAAGTAACATATTTTGTTTTTCAAAATAGCATAAACCATTGCATTTTTGATCGGGTCAAAGAAGAACTAAAATAAGCAGAGCAATTTTATGTAGATAGCTTTTGCATATCAACTCACCAACGGGGACTTTTGATAAATAGGTTTAACCAACAGTTATATGAACAAAGTCAACGTTGGTACTACACGTGATGCGTTACTTTGGCAAATTCTGTCCATGCAGACTTTCAATTTTTGTGGACAACTGAAGATAAAGCAATTCCGAAGACAATCATGGGTTTGACTGTAAACTTTCCACTAAATAAGCTGACTGCGAGTTATCTGCGTTTCAAGTGTTTCTTTCTACTTGTAAGCAATTCTTTGAAGAAGTGCGTAATTGCAATTTGGCCCGATCTATTATACTGACCAGATTGATGACATCCCTCCCACTGAGGTGTTCTGCGATTCAAGTAATTTTGAAAAAAACCGTGCGTGTTTTGAATCTACTATTTCTGAACATTTGACAGTGGGACAAAGAACAGAATTATGTTAGCATGGTAAGATAAGCATACCAGCTATTCACTCTTACATTGCTAATATGTGAAAATTGCTGCTAACTTGAATAAGATCGTTGCGTATTGAAAACATTGTTCGCATCATAATAACTTCATACTGGCATTTCGTGCAAAAAAGCTCAAAAGGGCAAGTGCAAAACGGGCATCGGTACAGGCACTTCCTTCGTCTTTTGACGACCAAGACAATCCTCACAGACACATCGGGCGAAGAAAATTTTGTCGTTGGCTGCTTTTTTGCAGTGTCCTTTTTGGCAATTCTGAATTTCAATTCAATGGATCAATTCTTGAATTGATGATTCAAATGGATGAGTAAATAGGCATACTAATTCTTTCAAGCAACGTGCTCTGCACGCAGAATCACTGATAAAAACGGAGAAGTCACGGTTGGGCACCAACAAAGTTGCCTCGACTGAGATTTCCAAAACGAATAACAGCAGTGAAAATGCAATAAAATGACGCATCATTTTCTAAAAAAAGAAGAATGATTAATTTGCAAATTTCATTTGATGTTGATATAGTGCAATTTAATAAGATTCAAAACTTTACCTGTTTTGTTTGGCTAAATATTATTATAGCTCATTTCAACACACAATACCGCTCGCATGTTTTAGAGAAAACGACGCAGAATCGCCCGACATACGTGACATCGCAGTAGCGTAGCCATATCTCGCCTCAGAGTAAAAAAATTCTTAATTCAAGGGCACCATTTAACTCAGCTCAGCGCGGCGCATCTTCTAAGATATAGAAGTACCAGCTTGAACATAGTAGGAGGCCAGATTTCACGATTCGTCCCAATTTTTTGGTAGGTTGCCCAGTGAGTGCAATGAATAAGCGCACCGAGTAACCTACCGTAAGCGAAAATCGCAAACGATTCCTAGAATATGGCTCCTACTGTGTCCAAGCGACACTTCTGCATACTAGATGATGCGCCGCACCCCGCTGAGTCGAATGGTGCCCTTGGGTCAAGAATTCGTCCACACAAGCGAGATAAAGACATGCGACGGTGACGTCACATAAATCGGGCGACTGTGCGTCATTTTTTCAAAAAATACGGTATTGTATGATGCTTGTTTGTTAGGCCAGCTTCCCAAACACCAGTTCTTAGGCACTAAGAATGTTCAGAATGCGTGGTTCTGTGTACGGTAGGAGAATAACTCAAGAGCGTGAAGAAGTGCACGGACAAAGACTGAAAATGACTCCGCCAATAGCAACTCGCATCATTTATTAGCGCGGATGTTTTCGTTATCAAATTGGTACTCCCTATACCCTCCACTAAAACCATTATCTTTGCCAACACATGAGCGAATAAAAACTGTCAGTGCTGTCGTACCACCTTTTCATCAATACAATGATGTTATGCGCTTGAAATCGCTGATATTAGATGCTTTGTGCTTACTACGACATCAGCCGATGTCACATGTTTGACGCTGTCCAAGAGTTCTAATCTTGTCGTGTGTTTATTCTGCAATGTCATATGTAGAAAAATAAACATGGCATTGAAAGTTCGAAGCTGACTTGATGAAAGAGATTGCTTAATTTCATTTTTGATGTTATTCCCAAACAAATTGTCGCTTTTGAGCTAATCTCGCCTCTTTTGAGAAACACGTAATTAAGGGGTGTTCCAAAAGAAAATATGAACGGCTCTTTGATCGTTAATAACCCTCTTGCTTTCATTTCTTTCGGCGAACTTCAGGTATCACTAGGACGAGGTTCAACTTACATAGATATGCAGAATGGACCGGATTATCAGTCATTCTCTATTAATGTAGGATTACGGTATGAAATCAGCATAAAGCACATTTTTATATCAAATGGCCTATGAGAAAGACTATTTGATGGAAGAAATTCAAAAAAAAAACGGTTTGTGTAGTAACGTTTTCAGCGTGCATTAAATTTCGAAGCTGAGTTGATGAGAGGTTTTGCTCAAATTCATTTTTGATATTATTCCCGAAAAAAATTGTCGCTTTTGAACTAATCTCGTCTTTTCTGAGAACCACGTAATCATACAGGGTGTCCCAAAACATGAAAACAGCTGGATCGTTAATAATTTTCTTGCTTTTATTTCGCCGAGCTTTAGGTATCATTCTATAGAGCAAGGTTCCTTACATAAATCCGCAGTATAGGCTGGATTATCAGTCACTCTTTATTACGGTATGAAATCAGCACAAAGCGCTACTATGAAATAGGCTACTGAGAGAAAAAATTCCAAAAAAAATCTGGTTTGTGTAGTAAAGTTTTCAGGCGTGCTGATTTCACCAAAAACTTTTCACCCGTTTTCTGAGCTATTTTAATGGTATAATCATAGTTCTGACGGACACTGGAGAAACAGATTGTTTCCCTAAAACCTGAAATAACTTATGAAAGAAGCATTACAGTGAAGTGCAAATTTTCTCGTTAATTGCTTGAGCGTAATCCGATTGGTACAGAACTTTATCGCACAGAATAACAGACTGACGTTTCGGCGAACTCGCCTTCTTCAGAGTCTGAAAAAGTCGAAGACACATGAGTAAACTATCCGATCAAATACCTCGCCGACTACAGAAAGGAGCCCAACCTTCTAAGAAAAACAACAGCCTCAACCAAAACTAAGACTAAGCTAGTGCTCACCTTAGCAGATAATAAATTGGTGGGTGCAGACCACTTATATCAAAAGCTGTACTGCTTAACTTTTATAGTTGACTAGTGACCCGGTTCTGACCTTGTCCCACTATTCAAAAGCCACAGAGCCTCTGATATGGTGACAGTTCGTTAGTAATGGCTAGGCACTCGTTTTTCCGGTTGATTTTTGGATTTTGGGCGGCTGTCCAAAATGCTTCGAGTGTCTTGCGCGCTAAAATTTCGGGTTCACGCGCCAGGATTCGAACCTGCACCACCACCTCCGCGTCGTCATGGCTGAGCCTGCGATGCATGCCTAACGGAGTAGCTACGTTGCCCTTGCTGAGACCATCTAAGTGTTCTTTGATGCGCGTGCATAGGGGGCGACCGGTCTCGCCAATATACGTGTCTTCACATGATGTACACGTGATAAGGTAGACAACACCTGATACCATACAGTCTCCTTCCTTGCCGTATGGACAAATCACACAATTAGGAGCTGTACATACTTCCGGTTTTCGTACTATCTGTTGTTTAAGGTTTGCGGACGGAATGTCGACGATCCTTACCATATCGTTGAGGCCTGCTTGATGAAGTGATCTGCGAACATCCCTAACTAAACTCTTCTGAGATATATGGCAAACGGAATGGGATCTGATCATCAGCTCCCGATCTAGGCGGTGTACGATGGACTCGGTATCTGTAAGGGTGACGAGTTTTCGTGTTGTATCCATTAGATCTTGCTACTGATTCTGCTAGCTTCAGCAAACGCATCTTTTCGTCCCCGTCAGAAGAGACCCCTGCAGCCGTTCATGTTCCCCACGATGGAGGCCTTTATTCGTGCGGGATGTGCTGAAGAATAGTGTACTAAGATGTTTTTGCTGCTCGGCTTTTGATACCATCTGGTCTTGAAACCTCTGTCCGATAAACATAATTGTACGTTGAGGAACGGCAGCCATCCATTTTGGGGTTTCTTCCTCGTCATCTTGATGTTAGTGTCCTGGGCATTCATGATACTGAAGCAAGCATCAAGCTCGGCCTGGGTAGGACATACGATACAGCAGTCGTCCACGTACCGACAGTAGAGCAGAGGCTTGCTCGCCAAAACTGGAGCTTCTACCTTAGACATGAAAACAATTGCCAGGGTCGGCGCCAGTCTTTGTCCCATAGCCAATCCTCTAATCTGCCTGTAATAGCCTCTGCTCTACTGTCGGTACGTGGACGACTGCTGTATAAGATCTAATGGATACAACACGAAAACTCGTCACCCTTACAGATATCGAGTCCATCGTACACCGCCTAGATCGGGAGCTGATGATCAGATCCCATTCTGTTTGCCATATATCTCAGAAGAGTTTAGTTAAGGATGTTCGCAGATTACTTCATCAAGCAGGTTTCAACGATATGGTAGGGATCGTCGACATTCCGTCCGCAAACCTTAAACAACAGATAGTACGAAACCGGAAGTATGATCGTCTCTGTACAGCTCCTAATTGTGTGATTTGTCCATACGGCAAGGAAGGAGACTGTATGGTATCAGGTGTTGTCTACCTTATCACGTGTACATCATGTGAAGACACGTATATTGGCGAGACCGGTCGCCCCCTATGCACGCGCATCAAAGAACACTTAGATGGTCTCAGCAAGGGCAACGTAGCTACTCCGTTAGGCATGCATCGCAGGCTCAGCCATGACGACGCGGAGGTGGTGGTGCAGGTTCGAACCCGAAATCCTAGCGCGCAAGACACTCGAAGCGTTTTGGATAGCCGCCCAAAATCCAAAAATCAACCGGAAAAACGAGTGCCTAGCCATTACTAACGAACTGTCACCATATCAGAGGCTCTGTGGCTTTTGAATAATGGGACAAGGTCAGAACCGGGTCACTAGTCAACTATAAAAGTTAAGCAGTACAGCTTTTGATATAAGTGGTCTGCACCCACCAATTTATTATCTGCTAAGGTGAGCACTAGCTTAATCTTAGTTTTGGTTGAGGCTGTTGTTTTTCTTAGAAGGTTGGGCTCCTTCCTGTAGTCGGCGAGGTATTTGATCGGATAGTTTACTCATGTGTCTTCAACTTTTTCAGACTCTGAAGAAGGCGAGTTCGCCGAAACGTTAGTCTGTTATTCTGTGCGATAAAGCTCTGTACCAATCTTGGATTACGCTCAAGCAACTAACGAGAAGATTGCAACTATGCCAAGATTCATGGATAGTCGAACATGGATGCTTATGAACGAACTGCAAATTATTTAGCTTTAGCGGCTTCGTATGGTCCAATACAAGATTTCTGACTTTTCGGTTTTCTTTCTTAGGCGAAAATTGCTTTCACTTCCTCAAAATCCCTCTCAAAGTTCATACCGTAATCCTACAGTAATTAAGTGTGATCGATGCTTCGGTCCATATTGTATTTCTGAGATGAAACCTCGCTCTACAGAATGCTACGTCAAGCTCCCTCAAGCTCGGCGAAAGACTTGAAAGCAAGAGAGTTATCTCAATGCAGACTAAAGAAAGTTGTTGTCGTTCAGTTTAACTACCAGACATTTTACAAAGCCAACATTCTGCGTAGTCAGCAAGCCATATTCGAGAGAAATTCTTGGCTAAGAATTCGCTGGAGACAAGGATCTCCAACATTCGGGATCAGCCTCATTTGCTAAAAGATTAAACAGTAAAGAATTGTTTGATAGAGGTGGCTGATCTATGAGCTCCGCAGTGGTTATTTATGCCGTGTTAATTATACGCAAAAAGTAAAACTTTTCGCCTAGTGCAACCTGGGCGAATTTTTGAGACTTTTGAGGATGATAATTCGAGGTTTGAATGAGGTGCGAATACGTTTTGCAAAAATGTACCTTGCTCCGTCGTCACTGCTTTTATTGCTTGAATCCGCTCTGTGTTAGGTGCAAGATACTGGGGCCAGAATTTTCACTAACGATAACTTTGCAAAATTGAAAATTCACCTACTTCACAAGACACAAGATAACGCTTATTCTGACACATCAGTTTTGTATCCGTCGTTGCCACATCCTGCTTCAGTTACAGGACCATTGGTAAAAAATGTAGCTTACATATACTAGGTAATCAAAGATCTGGTGGTATTTTAAGTGACGATTGACAGGCTAGACCATTCTGTGGTATATTTAGAAGAATGTCGATAAATTTCACGCTCGGGACTCATAAAACGAAAATTTCGGGAGATAGGAAAGCTATAGTAGACGTCATCCGTCCAGTCACCTCTGTGCGAAGTGTGTTAGTGTACACAAATTTGAAATGCCGGACGAGGCACTTGCAACAAGTGCGCAGCACGGCTAAAATTTTACGCCAAAGTGCTGTCAATTTTTCTTCTTATTTGCCACGGTTTAAGTTTTGATGATTTGTCACCTTTATACGTCGTGCATGCCTTTCACAATGAATTTCTCCAAAATTATCGCTTTTACTTTCAGGTAATGAGGTAGATGAGCAATATAAAATATTTTTTTTGAAGTAAGTCTGCTATCTTCAGTCCTATCGTGATGAAAAAGAGTAGAGTATACGACAGCACTGGAGATATCAGGCTTACTGCAAAATCCTCCACATTGCTCACCTGCTTCCCTTACTTGAAAGTAAAATCGGCACAATTTTTTTCCTTTTAAAACGGCATGCACGACGTATAAAGATGACGTATTATCGAAACTGAAACCGCCTGTGAAGCTGAGAAGTAAAAAGGCATTAAAGTATAGAAAATAAGCAGTTTGGCGTCAAATTTTAGCCGTACT